TTTTGATATTTTTTATTGAGTTACAAGCGAATGTGAGAGTCTTTATCTCATCCTGAATGTAATCCATACCCCAAAACATGCCGAGAAGCCGAAACGCATTTGTCAGACAGGAAAAGACCAAGCCGCAGAATCATCACCCTGCAGATATCAAGAGAAATTGCATAATGAAATTAAATTACTAGAGTGTTGGCACTTATACTACTCTCTTGTAACTTATACTATCAATAATTTAAGAAAATATTATTTTGTTATGTCGTGTTCGTACTAAAACAAACATTTCGTTTAGCCGCTCGTTGTAATCCGCTAAGAGAGTTTGATCAAGAAAATGGAAATAAGATTTTTCCCTCCCCTTTTAGTGAAAATGACTTTTGTCACGCAATAGCTGATTTCACTAAATTTAGAAGATACTTTTTTTGATGCTCTTATAATGAAAAAAATCCCCTTTTATCTTCTCTTAACGATTTATATATCTGGGTGTATAAAACAAGTATATATGTACACACAAAAACCAATTGCAATGGGAAACAATGGTAAAATGTTTTTTTTTCTTTCGGTTCTTAAGAAACTTTTAGATTTAGTTAATCCGTAAACGGGAAACACATTCTTACAATTAGATTACCTCCCTTCCTAACTCGCTTATCTACGGGCGATAAATCCTAACGTGGCGAAACTGGGAACGTGTAACAATTTGTAAAACTGGAATTAAAACAAAAATGCTGTTTCTTTTGTTATTCAAATATATTTCTCCAAAACCCATTGAAAACAGGATTAACAAATTGTCAGAATTGTGTAATCCTTATTTTTCAAATTTTATTTTAGATTTTCTCTGATTTTTTCCCCCTTCAACATCTGGTGTAAGGCATGGGTATCTACGATCCCTTACCATGTTTTCAATTTACTTAAATGATCTAGATGATTAGGTTGGGGGCGGTGTGTCTGTAAGGAAAAAGAACGACGCAAACTAATATATGAGGATTAATACTAACTTTTAATTATTTTTACCAGCTTATGCTTAATTATATACTTACAATTGGAATAGACGGGCAGTCGAAATGAGAAGTTTGTGGCATGGCCGATCGAAGTCACGGTGGCTCAAGAAGTAGAGCAGCGGCTTATTTAGCCGAAAGTCGTGGGTTCGAATCCCGCCTGTGACATAAATGTTTTACTTCGAAAAAATTGTGTATAATCATTGAGTAAATATGAGGATTATTTAGTGTACCGTTTTTTAATATTTTACATTAAGTTCAAAATAATGACGACGGTCCGCTCTACTCTATGTTTATCACAATAAATCCAATTCTTTAACGTTGAGGCTTCTACTACCTACTTACACCTTTTAATGTGGTAGAAATGTCTATTGCCAATTGCATAGTAAATTGTTAAACCTCTTTAAATCCAATTGTAATCGCAAATAGGCCACATCGCTGTACCGAAATTGATAAATACAAGTGACTTTCAATACAATTGTGAAAAATTCAAAATTATAAGTCGTAGAGGAAGGTGGCAAGATGGAAAAACGTTATTTTCAAAGTGAAAGCAATGGAATTGTTTCTGTTAACGAGGAGTGCAGCTTACACCTTCCCTTTTAATATGATTTAAAAAGACAATTAAAAGACAATGTAATAAGAAACCCTGATATCTTGTTTGAAACACAAATTTAAAGTATTTGACTTACCACAGGGTATCGTACTTACAATATTTTTTTTTCAAAAACACTGGGAGTTGATATAGCCTCTGCAGTTTAGAACCCCTTAAAAAATATTTACAATAAATTTTTTTAAAAGCGTTTCTTTGTACATATCTCGCAATTTTTCGCTCTGTCTCAATGGTCTAGCGTAATAAAATGTTTGATGAAGTCGAGCTGAGGTTTTCTTTTTATCAGAAGAGTGTTTAGACGCGAAATCAGTACTGATTGCATATTAAATTTATAAACCTCTTGAATTCCAATGACCACAAATATATTATAATTAGAATGATAATTTTGTGGTTTAAAGACCTTGATAATCTGTGTTCACAATTCAATTACTCGACCTATATATGTAATATATGTTGTCTTTCTGTTTCTTTCTACGGATGAACAATTTCTGTGAGAACAAAGACAACAATAACGAAGAAAAGAAGAAGAAAAAGTGTAAAATCTACTAGTTAAAATGGCAAGAGTAAGGCTGAATCATAGGTTATATGATAGACTCCTGTTTGTCAGATTTGAGTAGAGGCCTAAATGGTTACTATTCATCAAGAGTTATAAGTTAACAAATTTATTTTTATTTTACCTCATCAGCTAAATGTGGATGAATGTAATTATAAAAACAAAAGGTAAAAATACAGTGCATTTGATAAAATTAGCTTACATTATTCAGCAGTGGGTCTCACCTCGCACGAAAAGCATCCGTACTCTAAACGCACGAGGAATCTTTTTATAAGCATTTTGAAAAAGAAGAATAGAATATCTTGATTATCATTTCCAGTTCTTAATTCAGCGCGAACAGCGATAATTTATGAAGTAAACACCGGCAAAGAGAATAGGTAACAAATTTATATTAGAGCGAAGAGAGCTCGTTTTCGCAGTCTGATCATAAAGAGATTTTCAACTTTCTTCAATTTTATGCAATCAGATAATATTTTAACTTTTTTCTCGCAAACGCGATATTCTGCGAGCGAAAATACACAGTCAACACACTTTCAATCTCTGTGTCCAGGATAAATTTTGTGACTTTAGAAGCTCTCTCCTATAATACACTCAAAGGGGGGAAGAAGGTATTTATTTGTTTCCTTTTCCATAATATCTAGGTACATATAAAGGTATATATTAATAGCCTAAAATGTGAACACAATATTAATAACATGTTGATTACCTTTATAATGTTACTATTCCTTCACACACTTTTAAATTAAAATTAAAGGAAATCGGTTCAATTTCATCCTAAGTAAAGACTTGTTGAGTGAGTAAATTGGTTCTTTTAAATTGTTCTCTTCGATGAAATAATACTTTGAGTAAAATATTAATTAATGCTTTTTAGTTTTAAAAGCACGGTTTTAAGTCGAGATCTCTCCCGGCAGATGTTTTGGCAAACGATGTCCTAGCCGTGGGTGCGCCACGCTCTTCCATCCACGATCTATAGAGGGTTATGACCACCGGATCGAAGCATGGAAGGTAGTGGTCGACCGCGATGTACGACGGCTAGAGATGATCGTTTTATTGCTCTTACCGCACTTCAGAACCGTTTCCTTGATAGGTAGTCAACTCCAAACCGTAATGTAAGGGAACTAAAACTGTCATCAGAAGGCTTCATGAGAATAACCTAGTCTCTGGACGCCCCGCTTCAGGTTCTCTACTTCGGAAGAGGCATACAGTAGAAAAGCGTCTAGTTGCAAATTAGCATCTCGCTTGTACACTTGAACAATGGGGGGGGGAGGTTGTCGCTTCACAGATGGATGCCGGTTTGGTTTTTGGCAATCGGGGCCGTGCGTCGTGGAGAAGACGTGGAGATCGCTTTACTTCATTTGCCATGCGTGTGTCACTGTGTTTTCAAAGAAGTCGGGTATGGTATGGGGTTGAATCAACGTCCATGCTCGTACCGAACTGATTATCAAACAGAACGGATCTTTGCACTTGAGGAAGTTCTTCTGGAAGCTGTGTTACTTTCCGCTCCATTTCTTGGAAACAATTAATCATTCCTTGATAATACTCGACCGCAAGTAGCTCGAATTTTCACCCATTACTTGGAGGATCGTGTGATTATCTCAATGAATTGGCCAGCACGTTCTCCTGACATGAATCCAACACATGGGACATGATAATGAGATGGGTTTCGTTCTCCAACTCCACGAAGCGTAGGACAGCTTCAAACCGCTCGTGTTAAATGGGATTTTGTTTCAGAACACGAAATCCGAATTCTTTTTTACCCGACGCCCAGGAGATTTAAGGCCCTCTGCGAGGCCAGAAGAGGTAGAATTAAGAGCAAACCTAGATAATAAATTGTTAGTTTAATTTTAATCTATCACTACATTTCCGGAGTTTTGGTGAACTTTCTTTCAAACCATCATAATGAAATTTTTTATTAAAAGTCATGAATTGCTGATCTCGTTTAATTTGGGTTACCTTCAAATAAGTACATTCTAATTATTGTAATGATAGAAATATTGTGGGGGCGTCGGTGGAGGCAGCGGCGTAGGCGTTGACACGGCGCTCCTCACTGTAAGGTCCCTGGTTCGAATACAGCGGCCCTGCATCCGACATATTTATAAATGGTTTTTTTTAAACACCAGCACCCCGAGGGATGATATAACCTCTGCTGTTGCGAACCCTCGTAAAAAAAGATGAAAAAAAACGATAAAAATACATATAGTTTTAAAGAAACAACAAAATTCGAGTGTCTGTTTTTTTGTGTTGTGCGAATAATTCTTACGTAGCACATTAGTATTTATGTGTTTCTTAAAGTGTCCATCGTTGTTGAAATCATAGAAGCAAAAACTGGAATTAATAGGAGAGAGTCCCTGGTTCGAATCCAGCGGCCCTGCATTCGATCCGACATACTTACAAATGTTTTTTGTTTTAAACACCAGCACCCCGAGGGATGATATAACCTCTGCTGTTGCGCACCCTTGTAAAAAAAGATGAAAAAAAAAAACGATAAAAATACATATAGTTTTAAAGAAACAACAAAATTCGAGTGTCTGTTTTTTGTGTTGTGCGAATTATTCTTACGTAGCACATTAGTATTTATGTGTTTCTTAAAGTGTCCATCGTTGTTGAAATCATAGTAGCAAAAACTGGAATTAATAGGAGAGAGTAGTGTTTCTCATGTAGTTCTTAACTATATATTTCAGAGAAACCCCTTCCCTCTCAAAAAACAATAAATGAATAAATAATTCAATATATTTAATGTTAAAAAAATGTTAAATAAGTGTTCGACACTTTTTTATTTTATAATTTTGACATTTTTGTTGGTTTATAAAACCAAATCATTATTTTAATTTGTTTTTGTTTTTTGTTTCAGGGGTTTCGGCAAACAGGGATTCCAATGCCAAGGTGAGTTTTTATTTCTATCAAATATATTTTTTTCTTTTATTTAGACCAAGTAGGTTTTGAGAACTTGAGATAGTTGCTGGAATGATTATTTGGCCTATAGAGATACAAAAGGAGATATTTATTGTAAATCAATCACTGATGATTAAAGATCTTTAAGTCGTACTCCTGTCTGTTTGAAAGGATTATTGACGGAAGAGTCTTAAACCCGAAATACACCTATTGGTGGTATGACTGCCAAACCTTCATATCATGTCTAGGTTAACATTTCATTCCGATGCCAATTTAATCACATAGCGCGTCTTGCACTTCCGAGCCGGTCTCTTAGTAAATTATGGATTCTACTTTGTTATTTATAGGGGTGGATAGAAACGGTTTTATATCTGTCCAGTGCCACACCTCCCGTTAACGACCTCGCATTCAGCCGGCGTTCCGCAGCTTCTTGGTTCACCCGAAGTTCGTAGTCTGCCATAATGCAAAAGCATCCCCATGACCAGTATATTGAATGCTTCCCAAAAAAAAAAAAAAAAAAAAAAACAACAACTACAAAGCAACTCGCAGAAGCTAACCAGAAAACCTTCAACAATCCGTAATTTAGTTTATTGACATCTGTAAATTTTAAATTGTCATTATCTATATTCGTAGGCACGTTCGAAATTCGAAAGAAGTCGTTCAATTGTGTTCAGATCTACAGGTGCTATATTTCCAGTATGTTTTTTTTTTGTTAGGAACAGAGGAGCTATCGAGTTACAACAATCAATTTATTTTCTTATGTATTTTTGAAAAGTAGTCGTTATACACTATTATTTGAGTTTTTTAAATGTGGTACTTATGACTGACTGAAATTTTTAATAAATAAAAATCGCCGGGGCGACGGTGGCCGCAACGTTTCAGGCGTTACACGGTCCTCATTACTGTAGAAAACAGCGGCCTTGTATACCCGTACCTGACATACTAATTTTTTTCCATAAAATACCGACACTCCGAGGTTTGGTTTGACCTCTGCTGTTGCCAACCCCCGTTGAAAATAAATAAATAAATTTTGTGTATTACATTCGAAAAAACAAAACTATGTACATTCATGCAAAACAACTTTCAAAAAATCGATTATTGTATTTTTCGCGTCCATTACTTAGATACAACTACATTATATGTACGCCTGTCGTATGGAAAGTGCAAGCTCCAGAACAGGCCGGCAGTACAGTTCATCGGTCGCATGTTAATTTAGATTCGTGATGAACCACCTCCGGCCCACATTGCCGAACGTAACGAACCGCCAAAAGGCAGGGCATCGCGTATACAATGATGTATCGATTCGTCCTTTAAACTCTGTACTGCAAAGTTCAAAACAAAACCCTTTCGAAACCAGCATCTACTCTAAATTGTATAAAATAAATATCAGCTTTGAATGAATGCCCAGGAGTAAGCTGGGTTTGCAATAAATCTGGTTATGGAATATAGCTTCCAAGCAATCGTTATAATTTTTATTTTTCGTTGTTTACTGGATATTTTTAAAGAAACATAAGAATTAAAAAAAAAAATTAAAAAAAGAAAAAATTAAACTGAGCAAAACAATTTTAAGGAAAAATGATGAGAATATTCAATTCAGTACGGAGTATTTCCTCTTGCGTAAATTACCGCTTGCATTCGATGTGGCATTGACTTTATGAGGTTTTGAATTTAATGCTGTGGAATGTTTTCATACTACAACAGCGCCATTCATAATTCCTGCAAATTGTCTGGCATCACTGGGCGACTTTTTACCTTCTTTGACAACTCGTCCCGAAGGTGTTCGATAAGTTTTAAGTCGAGGCTACACGCTAGCTTGATGAAGATCAAGTTTGTGCGCCCTTCCATAAAAATACCTGCCCAGACCTTAACACGACCACTTAAATAGCTTCTCCGGAGTGAAAATGCTGCGGGGATATATCGCTCTCTTGTTCTTCCCCAAATCCTCTCTCGGCTGTCAGAAAACCTCAAACAAAACCTTGACCCAGCCGAAAAAAAAGGTTTTGGTCCAATCTTGCTCAGAACAAATGATGTGATTTTTTAATAAACTTAGTCGAGCTGTTTTGTGTTGCCAGTGGCAGGCCATCTCGCACGTAATCTAGCTTCTGAACTCTTCGCTGACATTAACATTTCTAAACGTTGAAGTCGTTGCTTGATCTCAACGGCAGTAGAATGTCGATTACGGAGTTCATCGAAAAATAAAACGATCAGGTCTAAGAGATGTGACACGACGGCGACCTGATCCATGCCTTCTTAGTAAACCTCCTGTATCTCAGCGAAGGAAGACCTTTCAGACAGTTTGTTAAGCACAGCCCTGGTCACATACGGTTACACATCTTCCATCTTCCAACAATGCTATGATTTGAGCTTTATATGTATCACTTAAAACCATCGTCAAACAAATTTGAGAAACTTAAAATAGAAAGAAGCTTTAATAAATATCAACAAAGAAGAGATTGACTATTGAAAGATTTATTTACAAAATCAAATTGTAAACACAAGTCGAAGATTTTATCTGTGTTTTATTACCTCCAATCCTTTAAAACAGACCAAATATTTTTGTAAGATAATCAATGGAAGATAATTGAAAATATTAAGGGTGGCCACTGTTTTTGCCTCTTAGTGTAGTTGACAACTACATAAGCAACAGGTCATGAGTACGTGTTGTTGGCATGAACTCGCATGTTAGTAAGAATGTCTCGGTTAATCACTTGGCCAAAGGAAAGAAAACAACAATTTGAAAAACAATTCTGAAATATGAAACAAGTTAGAATCCATAAGATTTTTCAACATATGAACAGACACCAGTTTTACAATTTTTTTTTTGTAACAATCACTCGGATTATATCGCTTGAGTTTTAATGTAGCGTGATATTAATAAATTATAGCTGCCTTGGCATAAACCCCTTTGTAATTTCTGCTATTTCTCTCTTCTAAGTCATCAAATTATTGCTGTTTCTGTCAGTGTTTTGCCCTACTTCTAACGTATCGTTTTTCGTAATTAGTTTTAAATCGTAATTGTGAAAACTTTAGTTAATGAAATAAAAATGTAATTAAGTTTAAATAGAAAACGCTTACACACGGATGAGTAGTGAATGTACTTGGGTCGAAGCGAAAAAAATCACAATTAGTTGAAACTGAAATTAGTTGCCGATGTTTGTCCTACCCTACGTTGATAAAACTGATCCATGGACCTAAATGTTATACGAAGAAGCGCAGTCGGGCTTCTAATACCGAAGGAGATGCTGTGTCGAGCTGTATGCTGTTGTGGTTATTACCTGGCCATCGGAACTCGAAGGGACCTCCTTCAAAATTACTTGACATATACGTCGTGCACAAAGCAAGTTGCCAATCATTGGTATCTCAAGTTACTGTACTAAAACGTGGGCATCACAGAGATCCTGAACTGCCTGACCTGATTTTGCTTTGACGCCCATAACTATTTCCCGGTTTTTTTTCAACCTTTCCTGTGTTGACATGATATCTTCGGTATTTGACAACTTTAGTGTATTAAATTGAATTAAATCTTAAAATCGCTCGGATTAATTTATATCAGTTGTTTTTAAATCCCTTTAATCGACTTGGTCTTTTGAATATTAATATTCAAGAATGAATATTAATGTGAGATAAAAGTAATTTGTTAAATTTAAATTGTTTAAGTTTTGTTAACTTTAGTATTTTTGTTAAAAAAGCAAAGAAAAGGATTTTGTCTTACGAGTATAAATAATAAAAGTGCTATTGAAGGAAGTGACTTAAAAATATTTTTTACATTCATTTGAATTTGACAAAACATTAAAGAAATATGGCTGCTTTTAACAAAGGATTTTTCTAACGTATAATAAATAACGGTTAACCGATCTATTAAAGATGATTTTCTATTGATCGTAGAAAATAATCTAATCGATTCAAAGCAGATGATTGAAGAGGCCATTTAATAAGTAACGGCCAGGAAACACTTTATTAATATATTTAGGAGCTTTTACCGAGGAGTTTCATCCTGTTGAATTAGACGTCCTCTCCTATCGCCTTATCTATTCATTAGTACGTTGAATTAATTGTCGAATGCATTCATATATCATTTTATTTATAAAAAAGTGTTTTTAATCCACCGATGGGGCTTCGGCTTCTGAACTGATAAAAACGAGAGAAAACTTCGTTTCCACATGTTAAAATTAAGTCGTCCAAACTATTCCTGCTCCAATGGAGTCTCAAGCTACTCGGCATCAGATTTTCTTGCCGTGTCGGTAACGTGGTCTATTAATAGTCTATTTCGCTAAATCAAGCCATTCGGTAATTAAATTGATTACCAGAAAGGTTGAATTAAGGTGGTTCCATTGATACGATCGTTTTTATCCCTGTGTCACAAATGGCATATTGGGTACGACCTAGCTCTAACATTGAGAGATCCTGAACCATCAGACCTAACTTTGCTTTCAACGCTCATGTTTCCCCTGTATTTTTTTATCTATGCAGTCACGGTAACTTCGCCATTTTCTTCGAACTTTAATGTATTCAATTTAATTAAAACTTAAAATCCCTCGATTATCATATTTTCATAAGTTGTTTTTAAATTTTGATCTCTTTAATCGACTAGACCTTTTGTATATTAATATTAAAGAATGAATATTAATATGGGCTAAAAGTGATTTGTTAAATGTAAATTGTTAAAGATTTGCCAAATTTGGGATTTTTGTTTAAAAAAAAAAGGATTTTGTCTTACGAGCATAAATAATAAAAATTCTATTGAAGGAAGTGACTCAAAAACGACTTTTTTACGATCACATTCATTTGAACTTTACATTACAGTAATAGGGAGATTTTGCATAAATTAACGTGAACATTAAAATATTAAAATTGCATAAAATCATTCATTACTCATCACTATTAAAATATTTAGCTGTTTTATTTACGTACAAGAAGGAATGACAGAAGCACTGCAACCGTACACATCTTTCTTTCAATAAAGCCACAGCAATTGTGTAAAACAGACCCTT